TTATTACTTTATATCAAAGGCTTGCTTCTTAAACTTGATTAAATGCTTTGAGCAGGAAGGTGTTCCATTGAGGCTGAGAGGCAATCTTATAAAATACATGATTTTATTGCTACTGAGAAAGGAAAAAATGCTATTTTAACTCTGACATGTCTATCAGTTTGATTTTTTTTTACTTAAAGAAAGCCCTTTTGAAAAATCATAAATTACACTTGTATACCTATAAAATAAGAAAAATTAGCTGAGGTGCTCTTAAAATTTATTTACATTCGGAGTCTAACTCTTCTAATGCACTTTGAACTCAACACCTCAATGTCCATGTTTTTTCCCTTAATGTCATTCTTTGTTATTAAGAGTTTTAGTGAAATATCATTTCTTAAATAACTGTCCATTGTTATCTCCAGTTATTTCTTCCAAAATGCTCCCCGCCCCCCATTTTTAACATTATGATACACAGACACAGGTAGTGACAAATAAGACATGACTGCCACCTGGTCATAAGCTGTGATAAGGTGTCTGTCAGTTCTACATATGTTAAGTGTAGCGGTGAAAAAATGTGTCTTGACTTAGAGAAATATGATGCTGAATTTGCAAAATATTTGGAGAAAAATAATTGTTGTTTAGCGAGAACTGAGAACTGTTTGCCAGTAATGTCACTTGTTAAATATGTTTTTATTGTTTTTAGCCATTAATATTTGTATGCCATTTGACAATATTAATGTTCCTTATATCAGGTAAGCATCATAACAACCCAGTGTAGTAGATCTGCACGTTTTGTCAACAAGGAAGACAGAGCCTCAGAGACACTCAGTAGGAGTCATTATTTGTGATGGACCATTTAGGAACCAGCTCTGTAGCTCTAAGTCTCAAGTTCTTTGTTATTTGCAAAGTCCAATAATACAAGTAGAGATTTGTGCAAACCAAAATTAAGAAGATTTTCAGATTTTATTTGTTATTCTGTATAGACTATACATGGAAGACTATCTTGACAACTTTATAAAAGTGAACAGCTATGTACAATCCTAATATATTTGAGAATACGTGAAGATATGTGAAATTTCTCTTTGTGTCTTTTCCCCCACTTTTTTTTTTTTTTTTTTTTTTTTTT